GATCCCTTAAGGGGGTTCCTATGAAGTACCCTTTAGTAGTTAGGGTCCCCAAAAAAGGGATCTACTTTTTGGATACTCCCCGGGGTCTGGGCATGCTAGACCGTCAACCGTCATGGCTGGGCTTTGCGTGAAAGGGCTTGGGTTTTTTGGGGGTTCTCGTTTTTGGGCTCATATGCAGTTTCGGGATGGGGGTGTAGGTGTTTAGGGTTTCAGGTTTAGGGCTCAGGGAATAAGGAGTAAGTCTTAGACGTTTAAGGCTGAATGGTTTCAGGGGGTTCAGGGCTCAGGGTCTACATAGTCAGGATTTAGCCCTCAACAACCCTGCACCGCGCTTAACCCCCTACGCTCTAAACCCTTTAAAACCCTGACCTTGCAGCCAAAACCCTCAAGCCTTTGTGGTCCCATGCTGGACCCTCCGGGTAGAAGCCCAAGCCCTAAGCCTAAACCCCAAACCCTAAATCTCGGACCTTGAGCCCCAAACCCTTAAACCCAAAACCCCTAAACCCCAGGTAAACCCTAAACCGCAAACACTGGCTGCGGGTTCCGTTGTCACCAGGGTGCCGCAGCTGCGACAGTGATGCCGCCGTCGAAAGAGCGTAAACGGGCGACCGCAGGTCCTTAAGGTTCAGGGTTTAGGGTTCAGGGTTTCGGGTGTAGGGTTAAGGGGCGACCGCAGGTCCTTGATGCTTTGCTACACGGCCTTAGAAAAGTTTAGGGTTCAGGGTTTCGGGTTTAGGGCTCGGGGTTTAAGTTTAGGCTTCAAGGTCTAACGGCTCTAGGTTTCGAAGTCTCAAGGATGGGTACGATCGATGCCGGAAGGGTGTCGGAGAATCTCAACCCTTATCCATAGATCTTCTTGTAGGTCCTTGTAGGTACCCTAAACCTAAACCCCAAACCCTAAACCCTAAGCCGTATATTTCCTATACCATGAAAGCCCCAGCATGAAGCAGGATTTTCATTTCAAGAGTCCTCACAAGAACATTCCAAACACACACGTGCGAACATACAAGCGCCAACATGCCCACCATGAGACAACTTTGGTACCCTAAACCCTAAACCCTAAACCCTTAAACCCCTCAACCCTAAACCCCTAAATCCCTAAACGCTAAACCCCAAACCCCTAAACCCTAAACCCAAAACCCCTAAACCCCCAAACCCAAAACGCCTAAACCCAACAAAAAAACATGCTCAACCCAAAGCCCTTAGCCCTCAAACCGATCTCGAACTAAGAATTACAAAGATCTGAAAAATGACGGGCTCCAAGATAGAGCTTAGTGGCCCCTTTAAGGGTTCCTTTATGGGCTCCTTTATCGGCTCCTTTTAAGCGCCACCGTTTAGGGTTTAGGGCTTGGGGTTTAGAGGGGTTTAGGGTTTAGGGGTTTAGGGGGGTTTAACCCTAAACCCTAAACCCTAAACCCTAAACCCTAGGGGTTTAGGGGTTTAAGGGCTTAAAGTTTTGGGCTTTCGGGGTTCCTGTACGGGGCTTCCTTTATGGGTTCGGCTCCTCAGTACCAGGGTTCCTTTCCCAGTCCCCCCCGGTTTAGGGTTTAGGGTTTAGGGTTTAGGGTTTAGGGTTTTAGGGTTTAGGGTTTAGGGTTTAGGGTTTAGGGTTTAGGGTTTAGGGTTTAGGGTTTAGGATCTAAAAAGTAGATCCCCTAGTT